CCCAACAATCATATGACCCCCTATGAGCAAGCACTTTGGCGACAGTGGGAAGGAAAAACTCCCTTTTAACAGGAAGAAACCTCCAGCAGAACCAGGTTCAGGGAGGGGCCGCCATCTGCTGCGACTGGTTGGGGTGAGAGAAGGCGACTTGAGGCGACTGTTGCTGTGAATTGACCCAGTAGAAACAGAACTGAATCAATGAGTTGTTCATGAGTTTCATCTGTCTAAAGATTTTATTTTTTACAGAACTGCACTTTTAGATGTTTTCTGGTTAATCCTGTCATCCTGGTTACAGAGTTGGACAGTACTTGTTCCAGCAGACCATCTGACACCCCTGATTTAGACATTCCTAAACTTTGTGGTATCTCTCTGGCCTCCTTTATGTGCATGAACCTCATGTTGAGAGTTCCTGCACATAAATGATTGTTATTTCCAGATCTCTTATCTTCTAAATTGGTTATAAACTAATGAGGGAGTAGGTCTCACTTGAACACGCTTGTCCAATTATTTTCGGGTATCTGAAAATAGGGGAATGTAGTTTCTTATCTGTTAATACAATACTTTTGGTAAATCCCCTGAGTTAAAGCTAAAGGTCTTGTTTAAAATTCACTGTGGTGATGCACAGAGGCAAAAGTACTAAGAACCTGCCCCAATAACAGATAAACAATTTGATGGTCGATGAACTTCATGTAATGAAGGAGGCCCTGGCAGTCCAATCCCCAACAATCAAGGCTGGCTATTGGTACATGGATTGTCACCTCATTGGTGGGAAAGGAGCATGTGCTAGTGCATGAGGTTGAGCGATGCCAGCTAGATATAGTCAGGCTCAGCTTAACACATGGCTTGGGCTCTGAAACTAGTTTCCTGGACAGGGGCTGGGCTCTGTTCCAGACTGGACTTGACCCTTGGTGGGTACATTGGGATGCTCTTGGGAGTATCCCCCTGATGGTGACTCCCTTGTGCTACTGGGAGACTTCAACGCTCACATGGGCAACAACAGCGAGATGTGGAGTGGTGTGAGAGAACTAATCTGAACCTTGGTTGTGTTTTATCACTGGTCTTCTGGGCAGTTTGTCCATAACGAAGACCATGTTCGAACATAAGGATGTCCATAAGTGCACGTGGCACCAGGATTGGGGGTGGGTTTAAAAAATGGATTTTCCTGGTTCACATCAATTTTAGTTTGAATAAAGCGATTTCAATTCACTAAATCCTGAATAATTTCTTAAATATAAAAGTATTTTGCCAGAAACGCCAGAATCTCAGGCTAAAGCTTACAAAACTATTTCAACAACTGCCAAACAGCTAAAACAGCAAATGCGAGCAGGTAACGGATTCCACTAACGGCGTGTACACGGGCACGTCGGGTGCTAAAGGGCGAAATCTCACAGATTTTGCAGGTTTTGTCACTCTCGGACCAAAATTCACTGGACCAGCACAAAAGAATATAAAAACTTTTGCCGTTTCGCTTCCACCACGAGCTTCTTGTACTTCAAGAACAGTTGACCATCTCAAATCTCTATTTTCTGCATTATTCGCCTGCTTATTAAGCACCAGTCTACTGTTGTGTATGGTGCTTTTGGCTGCTGCTTTTCCCCCCAAAATGACCTCCAACAAGAATGCCTAATTTCTGCTGTTCAATACCGAAGAAATTTAAACTTTTACCAAATTGCAAAACGCTTAGCTGTGTCTCTGTAACTTTACTCCGCTTCACTTCAGCAGCATCAGGTAATGTTCATCAGCTGATTCATGGTTTTATTTATGGAGGTGTGTGATATAACTTGTCTTAAAATGACTGTGTATTCTAAAACTAACCAGGATGCCTACATGGAAGAAGAGGGACCTAGAGGCGACATGACCATCCAATCAGGGCTCAGTAACTCCACAGAAAGCATTGACAGCATGAAGGCCTTGACAGCTGCCATAGAGGCTGCTAATGCTCAGGTCAGTGCTTTAGTGCTTTAGTTTTTACAGTAAGCATCGTTGTAATAAACACCCACAAATATTTTCCAATTTCAGCAGGAATACACTGTATTTTTATTGTCTTACTGAATATTTTATTTACAGTGTTCTCAATATTCTTGCATAGGTCCACGGACCAGCCAGTCAGCATGTCAACAATAGCACCATGACAGTCAACACCACCATCCCCTCAATCCTGAGCAGGGGGCAAGTAGTTGAAGACCACCGGGATGATTATAGGAAAGATGCGTTCAGGAAGGGAAAATGTCTCTCCATAGGCATCCAGGTATACGTGAGATCACGGTCAACGAAATATTGAGCTTCAGTTACTTTCTGCTTATTTCTGCTGAGAACCACATGTTACCCTGCTGAATAGAGAATATTTAACAAGCTTCACACGAAGTAGGGGTCTGTTTCACCTCTTTTTTACGATGACTGTTACTATTTTTCTAAAAATTCTAGATCTGCTATTAATCTGTAATCTGTCTTGGGTCTCCTTTACATAAAGAAATGCATATTCGTTTTTATGAAGGGCCTTAGCTTAGCTTAAGAGGGCAGGGATAGCTCAGTAGGTAGAGTGGTTGCCCCCTGATCGGAAGGTCGGGGGTTCGACTCCACTGAACAGCTACCCCTGAGCAAGGTACCGTCCCTACATGCTGCTCCCTGGATGCTGTGTTGGTGGCTGCCCACTGCTTCACTGGGTGAATGGGTTAAATGCAGAGGAGTAATTTCCCTACGGGGACTAACACATACACATTATTATTATTATTATTGTTGTGATTATTTTTAGTTTTGCTCTTTTTGCCTCCTCTAGGTTGACGGACCAGAGGATATTCCGGATCCAGAGGACCCCTCCAAGTTCACCTCTGTAGGTGTGCAAGTGGAAGATGACAGAGGGTGAGACTTTTTTTTTTCTATATCATAGTTTATTTCCTTTTGTTGGATTTAGCCTAATGTATCTAAACACAATAACACAATAGCCGTCTTTTCTACTTCTTTTGTCATTTATACATTTCTTTGACGCTTTGGTAGCACATTTCAAACAGTTGACTGTTTTAAATGTTCTCTTTTGTTTTCTCCTGCATGTTTTTTTCTGTGTGCTTTTCCTCTGAGAGTGCAAGCAAGGGAAGCAGTGCTTACACAAGTTATTTCATTCATTCATCCTCTGTCTTTTGAGTCTGGAAGAATCCTTCATAACCCAGGTTTTCAGCATCCTAACATCCCATCTGAGGTGGACATGGGTTGTGTATTTGTAGCCATTTAATGTGCTTTACGAGGTAGCATGTGTTATCTGCTTCAGGGTCTCCCAGTTGGATGTGACCAAGATACAAACATGCAGCTGTATCTAAACAGTTTGGAAAAGCATAACTTTTTCTGTCATAATGTTGGAGAAAGACTGTTGATTTAGCAAAAACAGACAGTGTCTAACTATAAGCCAGCCCAGATTATGATGTATCTACCGTATTTCCCGGACTACAAAGGCACCTGAATATTAGCCGCACAAGCTAAAATCAGGGGAAAATCCTGTTATTGTACATACATTAGCCGCACCTGACTAAAAGCCGCAGGTGTTTCAATGTTGACTTATCATATGTAAGAGAATATGCACAAAGCAAATTGTCGGGAAAGAGATGGCTGTTTGGAGACACACCCCTTTTATTAATATTTTGAAAAACAAGTTATGGGTACATATTTGCATAACTTTTTAGGTATATGTACAAATAGCAGTAATTACAAGTACGAAACATGTACTGTGCTTCATAAACGAGTAACAAATGTAGTACATAACAATAACCTACAGCACACCAGAAAAATAGATTCGGACTACCTTTTAGGCTCAGGTGCAGTGACACGGCTTTAACAAGAAGAAAAGTCAGTCATTCACCGCCATCTTTCTCTTCTTCCTGCGCACTAAAACCACCAAAGTCCTCTTCTCCAGTGTCGAAACGAACAGGCTCAGGATGGCTTCGTCATCCACTCTC